GTCCTTCACGCTGGCGGATCTCATCTATTTCTTTGTCTCATTACCTTTCTGAAGTTGTGGATTGTTGTGTGAAGGCAGAAGGCATTTATCAGGGAAGAGAAAAGTGAGGAAGGGAGACCCAGTGGTCTGTGTCGTCGGTCCAATTACGCACCGCCTCTGAGCTGAGGGTGGGGGCGGAGAGAAAAAAAAAAAAAAAAAAAGGGCCCAGGGTGTCGCTTAGACTCTTCTAATTGGCACAGCACAGAAAGAGAGAGGTGTGGGGAGCGGGAAGGAAACAACTACAAAGAAGATGAGACCCACCCCCCCTTCACCCCCCTCCGATGCTGGCAGGAGTGAAATGAAAAGGAGCTTCACCATGTGTGGTGCTGCCCCTGGTGGAGTCCTGGTGCACCAGTGCGGAGAATGTACAACCCGCAGCTTTTCCGCTAATGAGGAGTTATTCTTGCCCTCTCCACTTGTTTGCGATGTCATTAGCATTTATACGACGGCTGGGTGTCGCCACCCGGTGGCCGTGTGACCAGGTTCCTCCAGAGAACCATATGTGTACGATGATTAAGGAATTAAGGTGGCGCTCGTTTAAGGAAATCCTTGAACCTTTTTTGCTACTGAACGCCTGTTTTGTGAAGACACTCCTACTTCGCCGGCGTCCCAGGAGCAACGCTAATCTGCCTGGATACACCGGCAGCGTCCACTTCTAATTACAGAGAAATTCCAGGTGAGCAGAGCGTCTAATGGAGCCGTGCTCGCCGCGGTCGTGCCCGTTGTTTACGGTGACAGTCGTGCAGCTTCTAACCCACTTTGCATAATTTAAAAATGAAACTAAATCCAATTAAACGGCCGGCACAACAACAACCCAACGACACGGTTTATGTGTTTATTATAACATCAGGTGTGTGTGTGAGAGTGTGTGTGTGTGTGTGTGTGAGGCGTCCTGGGTTTTATCTGCGGCCACAGTTTACGACCTGTAACTCATTAATGGACAGACACTGCAGTTTGTCATAAACCTAAAAAACGCAGCCAGGTCCCAGAGCAGCGTTTAACACTGACCTTAATTGGTTTATAGATGTGTTTTTATCTTGTTTCAGCAATTTTTTTTTGTTTGTGACAATGTCTGGGTTTTTAAAAAGTCATTATGAAAAAAAAAAAAACACAAAACAACTTTTAACTGCAAATTATTTTGAACTAAGACACGCCCTGTCACACTAATGGCTTAATGATTTATAAAGGAAAGGAATTTCTTCTCTCACTGTCTGTGATTTAGTGTATTTCCCTCAGCTGGACGGGGGGATTCTAATCAGACTTTTATTTATACAAACGCCACCTCTCCTTGTTGGTGATCGTGTTGAAGTCAAACTTTGGTCAAATTCACCAAACATTTTTGCTTTAAAGTTTTTAAATTAGAATTAAATCCAGATTTTTCTGTTCCCAAAAAAACCTAAACCAATTATTCACGTTTGTTGCCCCAGTTTGAGACACATCACAACAAGAATCTGACGATACGATACAGATCACAATACAGGGGCAACGATACGATATATATCGCGATACATTGTGATACTATAGGCACAACGATATATTGAGAGTTTCTTTTTGGAATCACTAGAGAGGAAAGAAAAGAAAAAGAACATGAACCAACACCAGGAATATTTGACTGGGAATTGGTGAGAAAAAAAAAATCAATAACTGATCAATGACTGAGGAGATTGATACGAGATCGTAATATCTATGGATATTTCCTGACACCTCCTGTCTGTAGATGAAGTTGGAGATGTCGTGGTGATGTGGAACAGAAACCTTGTGTGGTGAGGCTGAAGTCATAGCTGAACATGAACACGACTTTCAGGTTCCTGCTGAACATGAACATGAACACGACTTTCAGGTTCCTGATTTAGTTTTCTGACTAATGTCAGTTTCCATGAGCTCCAGACAGAAGAGAGAAGAACGACAGATCCAGAGTCAGAGAGTTTAAAGTCTATTCATACACAGTGAATGGAAATGAAATGAGAAACGACGGAGCAAACCATCGTGGGCCATTATAACTGGGCCAGATTCATTAATTCCAGGTATTGTCATTAATATGAAACACAGCTGGAAAAGATGGGGGAAAAAAAAACCCTGTTATTATAAATGTTTCCCTCTCTTTGACTGGAGGACGACTGAGGGTTGGAAATATTATATTATATATAATATGAATATTTTTAATAATATTAATATTTCCTTTTGGCTGACAGTATCAGAAACAGCCGAGTTCAGTTCAGTTCAGTTCAGTTCTAACACAAA